TTCCAAAAACTCAGGTTGTGTCGAACACAACTTGAACCCCTCAAAACCCCTCTCTCAGGCTTCACGGGGGACACCGTTGAAGCTGAAGGATCCATAGTTCTACCGGTCGAACTAGGATCAGGTGAAAAGACCGTGTGGAAGAAGATGCGGTTCATAGTTGTGGACATCAAGTGCGTCCACAACGCAATCCTAGGAAGGCCAGGCATCAATAAGGTCGGGGCGGTAATTTCCATGCCTCATCTATGCATGAAGTTCCACACTCCAGGTGGTGTGAGTGAGGTGAAGGGCGACCAGAGGAACGCCCGGGAATGCTATGCCCGGGCAGTCAAGAAAATGACCAGGGGGGTCAATGTCATCTCCCAAGAGATCACAAAGGGAGAGACCCGGGAGAAACTGGAACCCGAGGCTGAGACGGTGGAAATCGAACTTCACCCGGGTAATTTTTCGAGGATGGTCAGAATTGGAGCAAATCTCCCCGAGGATCTCAAGGAGCAGATTACACGGGTCCTCCAAGAATACGCGGGCATATTCGCATGAAGCGTGGCGGATATGCCCGGGATAGATCGCTCTGTTATCTGCCACCGGTTGGCCGTGAGGGAGGGAAGTCGACCGGTACGCCAAAAGAAGCGGTACCTGGCCAGTGACCGGCGAGACTTCGTCAAGAAGGAAGTGAAAGACCTCCTCAGTGTTGGGCACATCCGGGAAGTCAAGTACCCGGATTGGCTGGCCAACGTTGTCCTTGCTCCCAAGGGCGACACGTGGAGAATGTGTGTGGATTATACGGACTTGAACAAGGCTTGTCCGATGGATTCATACCCCCTCCCCAGTCCAGATCAAATGGTGGACGAAACTGCGGGGTGCGAACTCCTAACTTTCATGGATGCCTTCAAGGGTTACCACCAAATCTACATGGCCAAGGAAGATGAAGAGAAGACATCATTCCTCACACCCGAAGGAACCTACTGCTACCGGGTAATAGCGTTTGGCTTAAAGAACTCGGGGGCAACCTACTAGCGCATGGTGAACAAGCTCTTCAAGCCACTACTGGGAAAGACCATGGAGGCATACGTCGAAGACATGCTGATCAAAAGCCAGGTATCTCTGAACCACCCGGCGGATATGCGAGCCACATTCGATATCATGGCAAGGTACAACCTCCGGCTGAATCCTAAGAAATGCGTCTTCGCGGTTCGTACCGGGAAGTTCTTGGGATTCATGGTGACCAAGAGAGGGATAGAGCCCAACCCAGAGAAAATCCGGGCCATCACTGAAATGCAAGCCCCTACCTCCGTTAGGGATGTTCAAAAGTTGACCGGTCGTTTAGCGGCTCTCAGCCGGTTCCTTTCCCGGTCAGCTGAGAGATCCCTGCCCTTCTTCAAAGTTCTGAAGAAGGCCAACACATTTGCATGGGACGAAGAATGCCGGAGGGCATTTGAGGAGCTGAAAGAGTACCTAGCGTCGGATTTTGTATTGTCTAAACCCGAACCGGGTGAAACTCTGTATCTGTACCTGGGAATTTCCCCAAATGCTGTAAGCTCCGTTTTAATAAGAGATGATGGGGCACAAAAGCCCATTTATTATGTGAGCAAGGCACTAAACGGGGCTGAGAGTAGATATACGGCGATGGAAAAGACAGCCTACGCGCTTTTCATCTCCGCAAAAAAGTTAACATCCTACTTCTAAGCTCACCCGGTAGAAGTCTTAACTGACCAACCGCTGGGTGCAGTGTTGCGAAATTCAACATCCTCCGGGAGGATGGTGAAGTGGGCAATGATGTTAACTCAATTCAATATTGAGTACCGGCCAAGGTCAGCAATCAAGGGGCAGGCCCTAGCTGACTTCCTTGTAGAAATGACCGGTCTAACTCCAGACTTACCGGTCAACAAGCTCACTGAGCAATGGTGGGAGATGGCAGTTGATGGGGCATCCGGTCCTAGAGGATACGGGGGTGGTATCGTGTTCACCACCCCAGAAGGATTCAAGATCTACCATGCAATCGTCTTCAACTTCAAGCTGACGAACAACGAGGCGGAATATGAAGCTCTGGCTGGAGGGCTCAGACTTGCCCAAGCCCTGAAAATCAGCCGGGTCAGTATCAAATCTGACTCTAGCCTGATAGTAGGGCAGGTGACCGGTAACATGGAAGCAAGGGAAGGACGCATGGCACAATACAAGGACCTTGNAATGGTGGGAGATGGCAGTTGATGGGGCATCCGGTCCTAGAGGATACGGGGGTGGTATCGTGTTCACCACACCAGAAGGATTCAAGATCTACCATGCAATCGTCTTCAACTTCAAGCTGACGAACAACGAGGCGGAATATGAAGCTCTGGCTGGAGGGCTCAGACTTGCCCAAGCCCTGAAAATCAGCCGGGTCAGTATCAAATCTGACTCTAGCCTGATAGTAGGGCAGGTGACCGGTAACATGGAAGCAAGGGAAGGACGCATGGCACAATACAAGGACCTTGTACTTGCCATGTTGAAAGGCTTCGAAGAATTCAAGATCGCCCAAATTCCCCGGGCGAAGAACGCGGATGCAGACCTTCTCTCCAAATTGACGCAATATGCTTCCGAGCATGTTTCGAAACTTGCCCGGGTAGAGATCCTTGACCGTGCAAGCATCGAGAAATTGGAAGTCGCCGCTATAACGGCCGGAAGCCAGTTTGACCGGTCAAACTTGGTCGGGGCGGACGACCATTGGATGTATGATCTGATGGAATATTTGACGGATGGGAGTTTGCCAGAACAAGATGACCGGGCAAGAAAAGTGAAGCTCAGGGCACCCCGATTCCAGATTCTTGATGGAAAGCTGTATAAAAGGGCATTTGGGGGGCCACTCCTGAGATGTCTAACCAACCGGGAAGCTGAGCGAGTCATAGCGGAAGTCCACGAAGGCGTATGCGCGGTGCATCAAATGTCCCGTACGCTTTCCCAGCGCATCATCTTGTTAGGATATTACTGGCCAACAATTGTCCAGGATTGTGAAAGATACGTCCAGAAATGCAGGACGTGCCAAGTATTCTATAAGCATCCCGGTAGACCGGCGACCTACTACCACCCCGTATCGAATGTCATCCCGTTCGCTAGATTCAGGGTTGATATCATTGGAGCCTTCCCAGTCGCCCAAGGAGGGAAGAAGTTTGTAATCGTAGCCATCGATTATTTCACCAAGTGGATCGAGGCCGAAGCATTGGCCAGCATTACCACGCAACAATGCAAGAAATTCATTTGGAAGAACATCATCACAAGGTTTGGAGCGCCCATGAACCTCATCACCGACAACGGCCCACAATTCCGAAATCCAAGATTCACTGAATACTTGGAAGGCTTCGGGATCAAACACAATCGTTCCTCGGTAGCGTACCCCCAAGGGAATGGCCAAGTCGAAAACACCAACCGAACGATTGTGGATGGTCTAAAGAAACGGCTGGGAGAAGCAGGAAGCAAGTGGCTGGAAGAGCTCCCACACATCGTATGGGCATTCCGAGTAACACCCAGGAGGGCTCACGGGGAAACTCCATTCTCCCTAACCTATGGGTGTGAAGCAAGGCTGCCCATCGAAGTTGAATTCCCCACGTTTCGGGAATCAAACTATCAACCCCAGCAGAATGAGGTAGATCACTTGGCCGAACTCAACTTGGTCGAAGAGCGGAGAATGGCCGCGGAAGTCAAAATGAGCACATACCAACAAGTTGTGAAGAAGTACCATGATAACAAGGTCGGGCCGCGGTACTTCCAAGTTGGGGCTGAAGTCCTACGAAGAAGAGAAGCAAGTAGACTCGGCGACGGAGGAAAGCTAGCAAAAAACTGGGAAGGCCCATATAGGGTTAGGGCCATCATTCGCCCGGGGACATACCGGTTAGAAACTCTTGAAGGGGTACCGGTAGAAAGAACCTGGAATTCCCATCATCTTCGCAAGTTCTACAAATGATTGTAATACTAGGCAAGGCCTACTTTATTATCAATCAAACCGATGGTGTTCAATATTCTATTTGGTAGCGGCAGGATTGATAGGTCGAACCTATCCTAGGAGGGCTTCCTGGGTGGATCGAATCCACTTGGCTAAGCCAACTGAGACACAGGCCCGGACCTGGCACGCTGGTTACTACACCGGTCTTGCTCAGTATAATAGAAAAAATATCAAAACCCGGAAGAGGGGCCCGGAAGAGGGTATGCCTGCAAGAGGGCTAGACCTGGAAGAGGGTTCGAACCGTACTTACACGGGCCCATGAGGTTCGACTGGTGTCGGGCAATCAGCCGGCGCCGTCAGATTGATTGGGGACTAAAAAGATGCCCATTAAAAGAAATAGAAGGGGATCGTCCACCGTGGCGCATCCTATATCCCCCTTCTCAGGGAAGACTTGAACGGGGGGGTGAGCTGAGGCCTTCCCGGGATGGTAGAAATCAAAGGGCCATTAAAAGACGTAATCACCCGGAAGAGGGGGCCCTGGAAGAAGGGTGCATTTGAACCTTGGAGAGGGTTCGAAACCATTCGACATGGTTAAATCTCCAGTATTCTTACCGGTTAAGAATACTTCAAGAATTACTAGGTTACAGGTGTTTCCATCTACAACCTACCGATAAAAAAAAAAAAAAGAATACCCCGGTCGGGTTTGGGCACAACAGAACTTCGAAAGTTCTACATCCATCGAAAGGCAAGCCAGCTGACCGGTCAAAACCGGTCAAACCATGGAGTAGGAACTCACCGGTCACACTAAACTTTATCAGAGAGTTGGCAAAACTACCCAAAAGGCCAAAGTAAAGGTCAGCCGGTCAAATTTTTTAAGTTGACCAAAATGATGAAAATGTTCGAAAAGCAAAAGATGAAGTTTAACCGGTCAAAGTTTCTCGGACTGATCCTTGAAATGAAATGACCAGAGAAAACTTTGAAGTTATACCGGTCAAAGCTACTCGAGCTACCTTTAGATAAAGTGATCAGGGAGAACTTTGAAGTTCTCCCGGTCAGAAACAAATGAGAAGTGGTCTGATTGGGCTACCGGTCAAGATTTATAAGAAGCAAAAGCAGAGTATAAATCAACAAGCAGGCAGATAGGGAAGATTCACCGGTAAAGAAAACAAACATGGCATTCGAATTTAAAAATGTCAAATGTTTACAATTACGCCGGGCATACCCGGGGAAATTTCTGCTCAATGTTTTACAAAAACAACCGGGCGCAGCCGGGAAGATCCTAATCTAGGGGGAAGGGGGGAGTGGGCTCTTCCTCTCGGATAGGAGCCAGGCCGTAGGAAGCCGCAGTGAAGGCCGGGTCTCTCTTCAGGAGGATCCGGTGGGAAGCTGCCCGGTCTTTCTTTTGACCGCACTTGAATCCGAAGGATCCAACGGCGGTGATCATCTTCTTTCCTTCAGGCTCCCGGTATAGAAGCCTGAAGGATTCCATGGTGGCTTCAGGGCTCGCCGTCAGAACCCGGGCAGCTTCGGCCTTATTTTCCTCAACCCAGGCAGCTGCGCGCCCGGGGAAGTTTTCTTCCTTCTCCATCATCTCCCTCTTGGCCTCAGAGACTTCATCCATGAGCCGGCCATTCTCTTCCTTCAGCTGGGAGATTTCGGTCTTCATGGACCCGGCTAACCCCGACAGCTCATCGGCCTGGCTCTTCAAGATAAGGGCCATCTCCTCCTTCTCCTTCTTCAGCCGGGCAAACTCCGAGGGAGAGCCTAAACCAAGCCGGTCGGCTGTGAGGGGTCCAATCTCCCCCGCCTGCACAAAAGGGAAAAGAAGCCCAGTAAGAATGGAATAATAAGCGAAGAGGGATCAAGACCGGGATAGCAGCAGAACTTACCTCCTTCAGCCTCAGCCCCAGGTTGACGAAGGCCTCTTCGATGGTCTGGCCGGCCGGCTCAAGATCTGACCGGGCCCTCTTCTTGGCATAGGAGGGGTGCGTGGTGGCCACCTTCTTCACCCGGCGACCGGCCTTCTCCTTCTCCTTCCCCCTAGACCGGTCTTCTTGGGGCTCATCCTCATCCAGGATTTCCACGGTCTCTGGATTGACCGGGAAAGTCCTGGCAGGATTGGCTTGGGAGCCCCCGGTCTCCCCGGCTGGTTGGTCCTCGGGGATAGCGAATTCTTCAAACTCCATATCTGCAAAACAAACTAAAACCATTAAGTACGAATACTTTGGCCGGTCAACTACGAATCACAAGAAAGATGAGAAATACCTGGGTGGTTCTGGCCCTCAGCCTCTGCAGTGTTGCCCGGGGAGGGTACCCCGCGCCCCGCTGCTTCATGGGCCGGGGAGGTACCCTCACCACCCGACTCGACCCTCCAGACCCAGCTGCCATAGTGGAAGACCCTCCCGGTGTAAGGATCCCCGCGCATGAGGACTTCAAGACTCGCCTCCAAGTCAGGGGAGGAAGCCGGTGCAGCGTACTCTTGGTCTAGGAGATGGTCATTCCATTTCAGACCGGCCAGAGGAGTGAAGAAGGGGGGAAACTCGATGAAAACAAACTTTTCCTTCCATCCCCGGTTGCTCTGGGGGACTTCGGAAATGAACTTCCTACCGGTGCGGGCTTTGAAGAATACAAAACCTTCGCAGCCAGCCCCGCCCGGTAGGACTTCGAAGCAAAAAAGGAAAAGACGCAAAGAAGGGAAGATTTTGAGATGGGTACACATATTTACGAAGGAGTGGAGGTACCAGTGGGCGTTAGGAGTTATTTGGCCGGGCAAAATCCTAAACGCATGGCAAACCTCAGTAAAGAGGGGGCAAAAGGGAAAAAACTAATAATATAAAAATATTTTTATCATTTTATGTTTCGTTCGGGTTTGATACATTCTTAAATACTTATTTCAGGTTCAATCCTTTTTATCATTTTGGTTTGGGTCGCATAATCCATGTTCACAAATTATTATTTTTGCGTTGGAATTTGGGTAAAAATGAATCAAGTAAAATTTTGTCAGCTCTATAATTTTTCATCACCGGTTAAAAAAAGCCTAGCCCTAAAGGACCCTAGTGGTTTTTATAAAAATATGAGGACCAACGAGTGCTTGCAAAAAAAACTTGCGTCACCCCAAACTATAATATAGCGATTAGTTGTTGAGAAGCATGGTAGAATTTATAGGATGAGGTAGTGATAACTGGATTGGGAAATACCAGACACTTGAATTGAATCACATTAAAAGATTGAACCCAATCGATTAGTTAGTTCAATTCAAGAGTTTATATACCGATTTTTTTGCTCTTGAACTTCCAATGTGGCATGACACTCTAACAAAGCATGATATATATAGCGCTTATCCTACGTGATGGGTGTATTTCACCCAAGACCGGTCAAAGGAGAAGGCCAAATCTTTGACCGGTCAATCTCGAAAGTTTTGGAAGGGAGACTTTAATCGTCAGCAAAACGATATATCATCGGCCAAAATATGACCGGTACACTTCACAAAAAGTATACCGGTCAAACTACATTGTCATCCTATTTGTTCCAGACTTCGATAAATTCATCCCTCGGAGATTACCCGGTGTAGTTTCTGGGGTTGGAAAGTGTCGGCAGGAGAGGATCTGCGAGGGTTTGGCGTGTAGCGACCCGTGTCAGTAGAGGACAACTGGAGATGCTGAAGAATCCATCCAAGGCACTACTTGACAAAGGGAATGATCCCCTTCACAAGGCGACAAGGCAGCTTGAGGACGAAACCAGTCACCTCGCACCACATCGGCAGCATGCCCCCACGTGGGCGCACGTGGTCCTGTCCCCTTAGCCTAGTATAAATACTCATGTAAACCTCAGAAAGAGGGATCCGAATTCACTCTCTCTAAACTCCCTTGTAAAAGCACCCGTGCATTCTCCGTTATAATATAAATTGGGCTACAGGTGTTCCACCTAAAGTCCTACCCGTCAATCTGCGTGTTTTTACCTTTCTTACTTTGCCAAATCAAGCAAACTATTCTAGACCCGGTCTAGTATAGTTTGACCGGTCAAGTAATTTACACCATCACTACGCACAAACTAAAATATAACACCAACAAACGGAGTTTAGAATCAGATATGACATAATACATTTAAAAATATGTCTGCTTAATATAATTAAGCATTAGCAATTCTTTTGTTTTGTGATTATCATATCTTTTCCGCTCCATTTGTTACGATGGTAAAAAATAGAATTATGTGGTTATGGATGATTTAAAGCTAAGAAAACTATGAGCCAAACAAACATTTTTTAATGAAAATGTGAGAAGTACAATTTAGAATAACATAAAAAATGTCGGCGGGCATTACGTAGTGGGCAAGTTAGGAAGTGCCAAGGGGATACATAACACTCGAGTTAGTTTTCTGACAATTATGCCGTGATGTCAAGACAATTATGTTAGGTATAGGCCTATATAAGTACTAGGTATAGACTTCATTCTTTTTCATCAATATGTGAATAAAATCCATTTTATTTGAATAAAATCCATTTTTCATCCAGTTATCCTTGAGAATAACTTCAAAAATATAAGAAGAAAAGTTAGCTAGGATGTAGTCCGTACAAGGATAGTAGGCAAACTTGGCATTCAATAACCAATCCAATAGGGAGTTGGTTAAATTAGTTGAACGAAGGTAAAATTGCTTATGAAATCTCTAGTCAAACTAACATTTAACAGTGGCTTCTAGTTAATGCAATTCGAGTCTTTATCCTAAGCATCTCTTTGTCTCATTTCTCCGGGACTCATGATATCTCCTCCCTAATCATCTTTATAATCTACCAATCTATACAGAACAAAATCATGATTAAATATACGAAATTTAATCATTATTATTATTATTATTATTATTATTATTAACCCAAACAAGCTAAGTGTATATGAACATTGAGTTCAATTAGGAGAAAATGACTGAATTGAGTGTGAAACATGAAAAAAATATCAAAATAAGAGCTTCATGTTTTTATTCTTAAAATAGAAATACAATACAAATATATAGTACAAAAAATACAGTGAGATGCCACTATACAATATCATAATTATTTTAGGATAAAAATAATAAAGTTTTTATTTTAAAGATAAATATTATATTTTAGTCTTATTTTGGTTCTCTTCTTTTTTATTAAGATGGGCTCTCAGAAAATTAGGCAATAGGGAGCATATGTATTAAAAAACAAATAAAGGTATGCACTTTTTTGTATGTTAACACAGAAAAAAAACTAAATTTTTAGCATCGAGTATACTTTTCTTTTAGCACGGAGCATTATTTATTATATTCGGAATTATTCGAGTATACTCCGTAATTATTTTAATACTCAATTTCAGAAATGGTCCTAATACTATTTACTCCGTAGGAAAAATGGGATTTGTAAAATAATTTTCAAAATTTGAGAATCACTAATGTAATATTTTAGAATTACGGACTAAATATAAAAGTCACATATAATTACGGAGTAATAATTCCTTATAAAATACATCAAGGTTCTCATGACATTGCCCGGTAATTCGACTCTTATTTTAAATATACGGTGTTAAACAGTTGTAAAGAACTTGCCTTTTTTTCGATTTTTGGAAAAGGTGAATTTTGAATTTACTTTTTCGTAAATATCATCCAACCCCAATCAAAATAGTCAAATTGCTTGGTGAACTGCTCATATAAGTCACTTTTATTGCCATAAAAATGCACTTAGTCATGTTACCATTTACTGTATATATTTTTGACGAAAATGAGCTCGAACGTGTGCTTCAATTTTTTATCTTTTACGGAGTATTTTTTTAGAGAAAAATCTCCCTAATCTTATAGTAAGCGTCTAAGAGCATCTCCAACCACACTTGCTAAACATGGCTTGCTAAAGTCATTTTTTAGCATGTGAATAGTGGTATAGCAAGTCATTTTGCATTGTCATCTCCAACCTTTCATTGCTATAATTTAGCTAACAGTTATATTATATTGCTTTCACTATTATAATACTCTTTATAATAATTATTCAATTATTATTTTATATTATAAAAATTAAGCAATAAGTATGTAATTTAAAAATAATAATTTCAAAAAACAATATGGAGTAATATTTTATTTTAAAGAAAATAATAAAATTTACATAGCATTATTTTAATTATTTAATAAATTCCAATTAAAGATTAGAGAAAAAACTTTACAAAAAGTAAAAAATTAGAGAGTAGAAGTAACCAAATGTTTTGAAAATGGAAATGAGAGAAAAATCAAATATTTAATCAATATCATGGTTTGCTATATTTTTAGAGGCTTGCTATATATAACAAGCCAAAGTTAGAATTTACCAAGTGTGCTATAATATAGCAAGACCCTTGGAGCACACAAATTGAAATAGAATGTCAAATAATGACAATTAACAAGCCAAAACTCAATAGTTGGAGATGCTCTAAGGGGGTTAGACTCTATTAGAAATTTTTAAAATAAATTGGATTTTTTGGAAGTTTCTAAGATTCAGTTCTTTTGAAATTGAGTCACTTTTTAATGTACGTATTGTCGTATTCTAATCAATTTTTAATATATGTATTCTAAATTTTATGTAAAAAAGGAATTATGACTTAATTGAACTTCTTTACGAGTCTTATTCACTACAATTACGTACTCTATACATATATTTGTTGCATGATGCATACTCCCTCCGTCCCAAAAAGTTTTTCTTGTTTCATTTTTTGCGCATCACATAAAACACTTCTATCCCGTCTTGATTGCCAAAAAAACTTTCAAAATAACTTCTACCCATAATAAAGAAGAAATTTTGTAAATTTTAGGCATTTTAGATGTCGTTAGAAGTGTTTTATGGGATGCGCAAAAAATGAAACAAGAAAGACTTTTTGGGACGGAGGGAGTATTATTATTGAACACTTAAGTTTATTTTTAAGTCATGATAGATTCAATGGAAACTGGATCTTCATTTACTCAACCAGTGACTGAGGGTAATCGACGTGAACAAATAAACTTTAGGCGTCGGCTTAAATATCATGAGTTACGCGAAAGGAAAAAAGCACAGTTTCAACGGTTACTCAACGCTCCAAGTTCACTTTCACTTCTCCTACTACCGAAGGTCTTCGATTTAACTCATTTATGGTATATGATTTCATAAAACTTTTCTTTTGCTTTGAACGACATCCACTAATTGTTTTCTTCTTTTCCTAACTGTCCCCTCAAATAACAAAAAAATCCTATTACCCCTCAATACATACACCTATTGGGACTGCGCGTGCCCTCACCCCAACCCCGCATTAGTATGATATTGTCCGCTCTAGGCCAAGCCCTCACGGATTTGTTTTTGGGCACCTCCCAAAAGGCCTCATACTAATGGGGTTGGGTGAACCTATATATTTTGGTCCATTTTTTCTTCTCCCTCCGGTGTGGGACTTGGAGGAATCCCCAACAAACCTCCCCTCAACCAAGGACCACCGAATTTCCGACCTCCCCTCCAGCGGTAATCCATTTTTCCTTTTATCTGCTAGCCATCTTGCACCGCCGCACACTCTTTGCGGGACACGCAGCCCGACCTCCTGTCGGGAAGACTTTCGACGCAAGGCTCGAACCGCAGATCTTTCCTTCACTGGGCTACACCATTTGATCCGCCAAATCATCTTGTACCGCCGTGACTATAACTTCACGGGACGCGCCGCCCGACCTCCTCTCATCGGGAAGACTTTCGACACAAGGCACCACCTGCAGATCCTCTTTCTTGGTCTTGGTCCTAGTTACATCGTCACACCGAGATTTTTCCACACTGCACAGTCCGCTACTCCCGCCCGCAAGAACCTAGGCTCTGATACCACATGTTGGGACTGCGGGTAACCTCACCCCAACCCCGCATTAGTATGATATTGTCCGCTCTGGGCCAAGCCCTCACGGATTTGTTTTTGGGCACTTCCCAAAAGGCCTCATACTAATGGGGTTAGGTGAACCTATATATTTTGGTCCATTTTTTCTTCTCCCTCCGGTGTGGGACTTGGAGGAATCCCCAACAACACCAACATTTCAACTTCTGTAGACCCTCTAATGGTGCCATTATTCTACCTACAACCTAACTATAAATCATATTTTGATAGAATCATCCATGAACTATGCATACCATGATTCGCCTTTTTCTTTAGAGAAGGTATTAGACTGTATATTTTGTGGTGCAAGTTGGATACAGTTCGAACCTTTGGGGTTTTGTTGTTGTCGAGATGAGGTCATTCTTGCATCAACTCAGATGCCCATTGCGCTTAAGAGACTTGTTCATTGGAAGTGACGTTTAAACAAAGCAATTTCATTATGTTGTTCTACATACAACAATACCTTTGCATTCACCTAAACTCATATATATTCACGACAAAGATTTGTGCAAGAAGAATAAAGGAATCTACACTTTTAAATTATAGGGGCAAAACTCTTAGAATGATATCTCTCCACTTTTGGAGAGATGCCAAAACTCTTAGAATGATATCTCTCCACTTTTGGAGGTATCAAAATTATCCATTTAAGAGAGTTGTAATATTAGAAAATATCAAAACTGACCATATTTAAATTTTATAAAAAAATATAATGAGCTTAAACCTAATCTAAATTGCGTGCATGGGTAGTTTAGGGAAGTCTTGAAGGGGAATGTAAAGTTCGAGGTCTCATCGATTTCAAGTAGTCGTAATATATGAGTTTTATCTTATACTTCTTTCGTCTCATAAAGATGTTATTATTTTGACTTTTAAGAAATTTAAGGGAGAGATATTTAGAGGTTGAGTTTTCAAAAATATTCTTGATGTGATGGGTAAAAGTTAGACGTGATAGGTAGATTATCATTTAAAAGGTATAATGTGATATGTAGGTTGAGAATTAACAAGAGTAAAAGTGGTTTTTTAATATGAAAAGAAAAGACTTTGTTAGACAAGAAAAAAAGAAAGGAGAAGAAATTTTTGAGACGGAGAGAGTATAATACTAGCTTCTTGTGCACATTAGAATGAGACGGTCTTTCTAAGAATTAGACTAATATTATGATTTGATTTATTTCTTTACTACTTTCTTGGACCATGATCTCGAGAAACTTGAGGTGGGCATTCTACTTTTTTTTTGTTTTTTAGTCATGCGGGGGGGGGGGGGATTTAAGGGGTAGAAACTATCAATTTTCGAACGAAACACATTAAGAGGCTCGAGGCATGATATGACATTAAATCCAATGTCGTTCGAACCACGCCATTTTTTACATATATTTTCACAGACATCACAATTTTGGAACAATGTCATTCGTGTAAAAAATGAGGTCTTAACTTGAGGCACCCAAAGGTTCATTTTCTTTTCTTTCACTAAAACTCTTTCTGTTTACTATTGAAAGTGCTCGATAACATTTGTTTGCATTTTTTATTAATTATTTAATAAAACTAATTATTATTGTAGTATTTTTTATGTAATTTTTAAATATGTAATTCTTTTAAATTTTAGTATCAATTTGTAAATAAATTTATTTTTCAAAAAAGATGAAATCTAATGAATAGAAAGCATTGCCAAACAATACTGATTTTAAGTAGTACATAGGTAAAAAACTACGGAGTATAGTTGCGTCGTAAATACAACTGCGGGAGTACTATCTTCCCCAAATTAGCAAGTCCTTACCTGTAAAAAAAAAAGAGAACTTTCTTTACCAAATCCACTCTATTTTCTCAATTTCTTCTTTCTTTCTCTGCAACTTCCCCAAAAAGAGATCTGCTGCATTATCAGCGGAGCCCATTTCAGCTCCCTGCTTAGCAAAGTACATATTGCTCCCTCTTTTCTTTCACTAGGGTTTCCAGTAACCCCTCATCGCTTCTTGCTTGTCTCCCTACTGACATCGAGATCTGCTCGTCCACTGTATTCGTGTCTTGTTGTTCGTGAGAAGCGCGGGATTCGATGGGGTCTTAGAGCTCTGGTTGGTTGCAGAGGATCTCGAGCTTTAGGAATGGGGGCGGCGGGGAGCAGGACGGCGGTGTTCGGTTGTGTGAGTGGTTTTGGATGAGAATATGCCCTTTTGGTGTTTGGATGGGGGGCGGGTTTGTGGGCGAGGGTGCAATCAGTCGCTTCTTCACCTTTTTTCGTCCCTTTCACAATTTTTTTGAAATTGTCTCTCGATTTCTCGCCTTCTTGCTTCGAGGAGTTTGGGAGATTTGAAGTAGCTGGTTTTCCGGGATGAGGGTTTCTACGGCCGCCGCCAATCCTCCGCCGCCGGAGGAAGCTGCAGGTATGTATTTTTAAATATATATATATATATATATATATATATATATATATATATATCAATTCCTTGTTTTTTTATTTACTGGAAATGTTATACTCCTATCATATACACCTTATTTTTTCTGTGAGAACAGGGGAGAAGAAATGCTTGAATTCGGAGCTGTGGCATGCTTGTGCCGGCCCACTAGTTTCCCTCCCTCAGCTGGGAAGCAGGGTCGTCTATTTTCCACAAGGCCATAGTGAGCAGGTTCTGTCTTTCCCTTCT